ATGGAATACTACTCAGACCATAAGAGAAATTGAGGTAGGCTAGAATTCCAGAGAAAGAGGATTGTTGTTACTAAGTACTGTCACGTTGGTTTTAACTCTTAGCAACCCTTTATAGAGTTTCCGAGGCTTTTAAAAACCTTTGCAGAAGCAACACCAGAGATTAAGGCAGAGATGAGGACATGAAAAGGGAGAGCAGCTGAATACTCTGGACTCATGGAAAGAGAAAGACTGAGTGCTGACAGCCAGGAGGCAGGCTTACAGAGTGTGCCCTTTGGTTGCTTAAATTATTATATATTCCTGAATATTTTTGTGTACATCCCACCCTCGCCTCCACTTACCTGCCCCCCAAAAACCCAGAGTGAATAGAAGCAAATACTGTTGAATGATGATGCACACAGGAGATTGTAATCATTGCAATGAAATGAAGAGTGTAAAACCAATGTTCTCCCATGTAAACTATCACTCACTATCACTCAATTCACAATAAAAACTTAAAAAAAAATAAATAAAAAGATGAGCCTGTGAGTGCCTGCACATACGTGTAAGCCTTGTGTATGTGTGTTTCTGATAACAGCCCAGCTGACAGTGGACGTCGCCTTGGATTAGCTGTCACCACTCTTCTTCACTGATGGCACACAGCGAGAGCTGATTGTAGTATTTGCACCTACATTTGTAGTATTTGCATCTTCATTAATAGCCATGAGAGAAAAGTCTGTGGCTCCCAATTAGTGACCAAGTGAAGGGATCATTCATTCAACATCCCTGTGATCATGAGTACAGAGAGATTCTCATTAGTTAGACCTGAAGGAATTTCCCTTCCAGGGTCAGGAGAATGGACAAGGTGACTTTTCAAGGTCAACAAAGCATCCATTTAAACAGGACTTGCTTGACCAATAAACACTTTGATCAGTTAAAGACTTCTTCACACTGAGTTAGGGGATGTTTTTTAAAATTGGGGAAATAAAAGGTCAATGGAAGAGAAAGAGGGAATAAGGGTCTTTCAGGAGAGAGTGAATAGGCTGCCCTCTTTTGCAGTCAATGATTCGTTTGATGTTTACTGAGCAACCTCTCTATATCATGGATTGGCCACAAACTGGGGATTGAAGAAGATAGAGGTCTGCCCTCATAGACTTCTCAGTCTAGATGGCAGATCTGTCATTGCTGAGACTTGCATCTTTTATTCAATCCCTGGTAGGGAGAGTATCCAGCAACAATTGGGTTTTGTGTCCACGTTAGCTGGTTGGGCAAATAGATAGAAGGTTGGGGAACCTCAGCAAAAGGGACATTGATAACCCTGATCTAAGTCACTATGCAGAGACCACAGCCCGTGTATGTGGAGGAAATAGTGCAGATTTCTGGCTTCTAATGCTTCCATTCAGCAAACATTTTTCAAGGACGATGACAAATAACCAAAGGCTATGAATTGCTTTCTGTGATCAGTCTGAAGCATGGGGGGAAATTAGTTAAACAAGCTGAGACAGCCTCTAGTTATCCTCATCTGGGCATCCAGAGAGTCAACCCTTGACTATCTATCTCCCCTAAGGTCCAAATCTCCCAGTCTTGCTTTCAGCCAGTCAAATAGCAGATAAATTCTTTCCATCCTCCCACTGGCCCCAGAATGCTCTCTCTGCTACCTCAAAAAACTTTTAAACACGTTTGTGTTGGTTAAAACATTTTCAGAGTATCTTTGTTAGGTGAGCCTCCCTTAAGTGTCTCGCAATTGCTAAGGCTGTCCTTGCCCTTGAGGATCCCCAGTCTGGTGGTAATGGAGCCCAGTTCACAGAAAGACTGTCCCAGTTACACACAGAAGTACTGTGGTGGAGGTGGACACTGGCTAATGTGGGAATCCAGAAGACAGGCACTCCACCCAGCCTAGGGGTTCAGAAAGATTTCCAGGTACCTGAAAGGAATCTGAAAGGAGGTTGTGAATGGTGTGAGTGACAAGTCTCATGGAGGGACCACATGAGCATGAGAATTACCAATCAGAAGATTAGCCCTAAGAGCAGCTTCACTCGAGACCAACTTAACCAGACACCTTCCCCTCCATGACTGTATGAATGCTCCTTCTTCCTCTGAATTGCTCTATGGGCAAAGCTGTCCACAGAGAGCCCAATCTTCCTCCACTCATTGGTCTCTTCAGTCTCTTTACCATGTTCTGAAGTCCAATCTATAGAACTAGCTTCATGTTTTCACTTTGGGGCATCAAAGGAATCTCCAAACTGAGTCCTAAAGCAAGAGCCCAGTCACTCCTGTGGACTTCTCAGGGTCTTAATTACATCCCAGATGACAAACAACCTCTCCGTGTCTCAGGCAGGTATGTTGCAGCCAAGGTGGGATGACCTCAGGGTAGGATGACCCTTGGCTGCCCTCTCTGCTCTCCTCCTCCCTCAGTAGCACATCTGCTTGGCCTCTGGGGCCCTTCACCCATCACCTACCCAGCACTTGAGTATCATAGCCCAGCATCCCTAGGGTTGGCACTTCCAGAAGTCAGGAGCATGCCTACCTGGTGATCATGAAGGGGGCATTTTATGCATGGTTCATGTATTCCTCATCTTTCTTCTCAACCTCTTTTCTTAGGTCACTGGAGAGTTGCTTGGTCTTTTGGGTAAAGTGTTAGCCCTGGGAAGGGCCTCAGGAGCCATGTGGTCCAGGGGTTCTTAATATGAGACCCACAGCCCAGAAAGTCTACGGATGGACTCCAAGTGTCTGTGAGCCTCTGAACATTCACAAATAACTCTACACTGCTCAGGTAAAAACAACAATGGCCTTCCTCAAGCCTCAGCACGTTTATGACCCACATGGTTACAATTCACTGGTTCTGGTCTAAGTGTACTAGTGACTGGTTAGGGGTAGCATGGGAATAGAACCTCCATAACTCCTAGGACATTATTCCCAGTATCCACAGTAATGACAGCTTTGACCTCAGAAGGAGGCTTTGAGGCAGAAAGCCCAACAGACTGCAATTCCAAATTCCTAGGTTCTTGTACTCCTCAAGGTTTATTGCATTCTGACACAGAGACCAAACCAAATCCACTGCCGTCTAGTTGGTTCTGATGCAAAGTAAGCCTAGATAGAGTTTCTGGGACTATAAAGCTTTGTGGGAGCAGCTGGCCTCATCTTTTACCCTCGGAGTGGCTAGTGAGATTGAACTGCCAACTTTGCAGTCAGCAGCCCAACGCCTAACCTACAGTGCTACCTGGACTCCTTGACACACAGAGAGTAGGGCTTCCTTATGTTTGTATAGCAAGGTGAAATAAATGGAGCCGACTGCTTCAGGCCCCGCACAATCGCCCTGAGTGCTGTAGCGTGAAGAACCCCACCACCACACATGTGGAAGGCAATACTAACTGAAAAGCCAACTTGCTGTTGTTGTTACTGCGTGCTGTGGAGTTGATTCTGACTCATAGCAAGCCCCTGTAACAGTAGAACTGACTGATAGGGTTTCTTGGCTGTCATTTTTATAGAAGCAGATTTTCAGGTTTTTCTCCTGGGAAGTCACTGGGTGGGTTTCAACAGCCAACTTTTCAGTTAGCAGCCTAGCTGAGCACTTAACCATCATGCCACTAGACCTCCCATACAGCGTCACTACTCACTTTAGAAAAGCTGACACCTCCCACCTTCTCACTAAAATAAATACACAAAACCTAAGTCTAAACTTACTGTAATGGTATAATTGAAATCTTCTCTCCGGGAATCTGTGTCCATCTTTCTGACTACTTCATAAAACTCTCCTCCTTCAGGAAGCTCTATTTAGCCTGTCCTTTCCAAAGACTTCTCAGCATTGCTACACTAGACTTCCCTTCTCTGAAATACATGACTTGGAGTGTGTACCATCTCTCCATCAGCCTCAAATCATCGGCATCCCCAGAGCCTCACTCCTCCAGGTGGGCCTCCAGTATCAGAGTAAGGCTGTGCACAGGTGCAGAGTGGGGCACATCGTCAGGAGAGGATGGGCAAGATGGAGAAATCGACTCACTGAAAGGAGTCCATGACTCAAGGGCTCTTTATTGAATACACAGCAGAAATTCAGGGTCCTTAGCTCAAGCAAAGGAAGGGTGAGGTGCACCATTTACAGAAACATTTACATTCAAGAGACATGACTTAGAGCTGGGTGGTACCACTCAGAAATAAAAGATGCAGCTCCTCGCACTGATCACAGCTTGTGACAACAGGAATTGAGAGGCAGAAGCTACACAGACCCAGAGAGAGGACCAGAGAGGAGAAAACATAGACCCACAGGCCTCAAGATAACAAAAGGCAATGCAGTCTTGCTGGCATCATCAACGACCTGTTACTTTCACATCCCTTTGTTAGGCCAGTCATGGAAAAAGCAAAGACTGGGGAGCCAGTTAGGTCAGACTTGCAGGTGTGTGTGTGTGTGAGACAGGAGAAGTTACACTGCCTCTCAGAGAACCAGGCTTCTTGTCTGTTCATGGCTGCTGACAGCACATTCTGTGGATGGCCAGACATGGATGTGAGGCAAAGCTTGTGGGGTGCCCACTGCATAATACATGGTAATAGCTGTGATTGATAAGAAAGGAATTTGTAAATGCTTATCTCCTGGCTGTATGTCTCCACACTCACCCCTCCACATGGAAGGGGAAGTGAAACCTCTCAGACAACTGAGAACCTCATCCTAAACATGAACAAAATGTTTCCTCCTCCCTGGCCTTTCTTGCTCCTCTCTTTCTGCTTTTTCTGGGGGTAATCATAGCTTCCTTAGGACCAAGAAGATCATGATGGTTCTGGCCTCCAAGTCTCCTGTCGGCTAATGGCAGCAAGAGAAAGGAGAAATCACAAAGTCCAGAAAGGCCCTATGAAACAGGGAGATGATGAAGTCACTCAGAGCTGTAAAGTAAGGCAGCAAAATGTGGACAGTCCAGTGTGCTAGAGACAGTCCTGAACTAGGGGTCACATGGGTTTGGGTGTGGCAGATGTCTTTGGGAGGTTGGCAAGGTCATCTCTTCTTCCAGATGTTGAGGCATGTGGGGCTGGGGGATTTATCGGGTGATTTTCTGGGCTGGACTGCCTACTGGGGTGCTCTTGCCTTGGGAGTCCTTGCAGTCTCCCCCCTTGGCCCCTTTGGACTTGGTGTCGCCTCCTCGGGCACTGCTAGCGCTGCTGGCCCCGAGGTTGGCATTCATGGAGCTGGGAAGGTAGCCATAGGAGCTTCCACTGCCGCTGCTGATGACAGCTGAGGAGGAAGGATAAGAACAGGGAAGGCGAGAGGTGGTGACTGTCAGTCAGCAAGTGACACTAGAGTGACTGCCATCCCCTAGTTGTCCCATCCCTTTTCATCCTCACAACAACCCTCCTTAGTCAATGAGCAAACAAAGAGGAATTAAGATTCTATTTTGTGCCACATCTTGGTTGAAGTGAGGGCCACATCAGACAGACATGGTCCCTGTCCTCGTGGAGATTCTAAAACCATTTGGCTCCAAAGCCCAGACTCTCTCAACCCTTTCTGTAGACAGCAACAGCCCAGGGAGAGGCAGAAAGGAAATAGGAACTATCTTCTCACCTCCTGATTGTACATCTCCATCTTTACCCCTCCATGGTGGAAGGGGAAGGAAAACCTCTCAGACAACTGAGAAGCTTAACCTAAGCACAGAAGAAAACCTTTCCACAAGACTGAAAGGAAATAGATTTCCTTTGAAGGCAAAGGAAACTTTACAGTAACACAAATTTCTGGATGGAGTGCTTTTGTCTCAGGGTCCCCAGATTTCTCATCCAGCCAAACATCGCAGCTAGCCTGTCCCTCCGGGATACTCACAGATGCTCACAGAGGATGGGTTCTCACCAGACATTCTGTAAGACACGATAAGAGAAAATAAAATGTCACACTCAGCTAAGGCTTACAGGATGTCTGCTTTGATCTGTATAATCATTTTGGTTTGTCCTTACAACAACCTCAGGAAATGAAGATTATAATTCCCATTTTCACAGATGAGAACATTGAGACTCAGACAGGAAATGATTTACTAGGACCAGTCGTTAAACCCACGTCAGTCTGACCCCAGTGACTCTTTTCATGTCTTACACAGTCAGCTGGGGCTACCTGGTTCTAGTCTGATATCCTCTTGAATCAAGCTGTCACAAAGTTCAAAGTCAAACCATCACCTCCCTGGCTCACAACAGCTAGCAATGCTGTTGTCTGTCTTCTTTAAGCTCCCAGATGGGTAGTCCATTTTGCCCTTCTCACCTGCACTCCTCACCCTCCAGCAACTTGCGGTAGGTGGCAATCTCCATGTCTAAGGCCAACTTGAGGCTCATCAGCTCCTGGTACTCTCGAAGCAACCTGGCCAGCTCATCCTTGGACTGGTGCAGGGCCCCCTCCAGCTCATTCAGCTTAGTCCGGGCATCCTTCAGGGCATTGTCTCCCCGCTGCTCAGCATCAGCGATGGTTGTCTCCAGGTTGGAGCACTGAAGAGCAAAACCAGACAGACTATCAGCACACAAGTAATTTTAGAGCTTATCGGCTAGGAAGTATAACCCATCATTTTACAGATGAAGAAACTGAGGCCTAAGGTGATAAGTAGTTGCAGAACCAGTGCTTGATCTGTTTTGTTTAGGTAGCAGACAGATATTTAAAGACACTGTGAATAGCCGTGGGAGCAGTTACTTTTCAGGAGGGCAGGAAGAAGCTGCAATGCCCGTAAAGGTATCATTGAGGGTCTGAGGTTGAAGGCCTCAGATGACTGTCGATTCAGAGTAGGCCACATCCAGGAGGATCATACTTGTCATGGCAACTGTAGGAGTGAGACCCCCAGCAAGGAGCCCTCTAAGGATGTGATAGCATATGATAGATGGGACTCTTGCCTACAGATGTCTCCTCATTAGGGACCTTTCCTGCCTGCTACCACCAAGAGTGAGAGTACCCCTGAACCTAAGAGCCCTTCACCTCCTGCCTGAGTGAGCCAGGGAACCTTTCCTTAGGACAGGAGGTTCCACCAGATGTTCCGAGACAATTTCAGTTCATAGAGAACCCATGTGTGCCAGAGCAGAGCTACGCTCTATCAGGTGTTCCATAGCTGATCTTTCAGAAGTAGCTCAGCAGGCTTTTCTTCTGAGATGCTTTTGCTTAGCAGCCAAGTGTGCAGAGCAGGAGGTTAGGGCTGGAGATGACAGCTGCAACTTCAGGAGCTCTACTCTGATGAGTGTTGTGATGTCAAGTCCTAACAAGGTGCCCAGGGAGTCTGCTCTGAAAGCTGTTGATAACACTCTCTCCATGCTCCTACACGGCTAGCTAGCCATGGAGGGTTGTGGGGCGGGAGAAGAGAGGACTCTACCTCTCAGTTTCCAACTTGACCTCTAGCAGGACTGACCTGGTTCTTCAGGACGGTCACAAGAAGGATATCCCTCCTTCTAGAAATCAGCTTCCCACTAGCACTGTTTAGAGACATACTGTTTTCAAGTAAGATAAGATCGCCCAGGTCAAAAGGAAATGCACCATGATCTGGTGGGGGTGGGTGGTACGGGGGGACATGAGAGCTTCATCTGTTGCTTTCCTCATTCACTTTCTGAGGCAGGAACCTAGTATGATAACGAAGGGGCCCTGGTGCATACCCCACCAAATATGTTCCATGTCCAGGGGGAGGAGCAGGTGTAGGACTTGGGGACATAGGACAGGTTTATTGGACACAGCAAAATTCTGTAGGAGGAAGAGGAAGCCTGACTTCTGGTCCTGGTTCTATTAACAACCAGTTGGGGGACTGTGGGCAAGTCCATTCCCCTGTCTAGTCTTGGCATGTTTATCTTAAAAATGTTGGCGTTTACATCAAAGAAGGTTCAGGCTCTTCCCAGTTCTGAGTAGGTGCCATTTTCATCTCAGAGGAACCAAGGCAGATAGATGGGAAGGGACGGACTGTGGCTGGCCAAGGGGTTCCTGACCCCAGGCTGGGAAAATTTGACTTTTACTATATGACTTTTGAGTCATTTCCAGTTTCTCCACCATAAGGATGAACTTGAACTCTGGGTGGGGTTGCTGCTCACCTGCTTCTTCAGATTGCCAATCTCACACCGAATCCTCTGAATAAGTCGGCTCAGCTCTGTCATCTCATTCTTGGTGTGTTTGAGGTCATCACCATGCCGGCTGGCCACCAGTTGCAGCTCCTGGATCTGGTTACCCAGAGATAGGAAAGTAGTAAGAAAGGCTGTCCCTGCCAATGTAGGGGGCGGGGGCATAAGGCCACCTTCAAAGTTCTACAGGGCCCTGTCCAAACACTTCCCCAACTCTGGAGCAAGAGGTGATGCTGCAGAACCTGGGCATCTGCCCAGTTCTTTGTTGGTGGTCCTGACTAAGAAGTCCACCTTCTCCTCTAAGCAGACCCTCTCTGCTGAACCTCATTTCCTTTCTGATCACCTTGCCTGCAGTCTTCTCTGGCTAGATAAAGAAGGATGCAGTTAACTGTCAACATTTACTAAGCATTCTTTAAGTCCTGGTGTAGAGTTCTGGTTTGGCACTGCAGGATAATGTGCTAAACCACAAGGTCAGTTTGAACTGCAAGGTCAGCGATTCAAACCCACCTGCCACTCCTCAGAAACTCTATACAGGGTCAATATGAGTCAGAACCAACTCAACAGCATTTAACAACAACAGAGCCACACCGGATAGTCACTGCACTACAAGGTAGGTTTGAACAGCAAAGCCGGTGGTTCAAGTCCACCAGCTGCTCCTTGAAAACCCTATACATGGTCGCTATAAGTTGGAACCGACTTGACAGCACTTAACAACAACAACAACAACAAATGCAAGAAGAGCCCTGACCCTCCCCTTCATTTATTCATTCACTCATTCATTCATTTAAGACATATTTAGAGAGGCGCCTTTTAAAGACCAGTTTCTGTTCCAGGATCTCGGAATACATCAGAGAATAGGACGCTGTTATTGTTGTTAATGTGGTTGAGTCTGTTACGACTCATAGAGACTCTCTATAGGATTTTGAAGGCTGTAAATCTTTGTGGGAGCAGAAAGCCTCATCTTTCTCCTGCAGAGCGACTGGTGGGCTTGAACCTCCAACCTTCTGGTTCTCAGTCCAGAGAGAATAGGATGGGTAACTTATATTCATGAACCTACATTGTCCTGGAGCCCTTTTTCAGTAATAGGTCAGAGGAGCAGCAGACTGCAGACAGGAGTGCTACAATGGTTGGATCAGGGCCTTTGCTGTGAATTTCACCCTCTCACCTTGCCCAGTTCTCTAAGGAAGAAGGAATGACATGGCAGAACTAGGGAACAAGGAATAATAATAGTAAGAGGAGGGCAGAATCAGCTCCTGGCAGTGGCTGGGGTTTTAAAAACATGAGAAGGAGCCACGGAACAAGGCAAGTGTAAGCCATGGTCAGTGACCAGCTAAAGGATGACAGCCCTAAGGGCTTCCCCCCAAAGCATCCTTCTCATTACTCAGAACCTTCCTGGGATTCTGCTTCTCCCTCTCCTGTCTATCCACACTCATTAGAAATAAGATCATAACTTTCTCTTTCCTCACTTCCACCTCACCCCAATTTCCCCCAAACAAGGTCCTCGCTGATGTTGGTCTCCTCAATATTTGTCAGACTCCTTCCACCTCGTAGCTCATATGCCCTAGTTTCTGGAAATGCATATGCATTAGAATAGTAACCCCTCACTACTTTCCCCCAGCAGACAGTTGTTTGTCCCCTAGAAAACAAGTTCAATGATTTCTCCTTGATGAAAGTTTCTGCCAAGCATTCTTTTGGGGCTGAATATGGTTAAACCACTGGGTAGAACGTGGCTAAAAACCATTCTTTCATTGAGCCTACAAAGAGAATGAAGTGGGAGGTGTCCACTCCCAGGAAAGAAGAGCCAGTGGAATTGGGGTCCAGGGGCAGGCACAAGTGCTCACTTTGGTCTGGTACAGAGCCTCCGCCTCAGACTTGCTCTTCAGGGCAATCTCCTCATAGTGGGTGCGGACCTCATTGATGATGCTATCCAGGTCCAGGTCTCGATTGTTGTCCATTGACAGGATGACAGATGTGTCACTGACATGTGTCCGGATCTGGGCAATTTCCTGAGTTCAGAGACAAGGACAGAGTTAGATCCCCAGGACTATCCTAGCTTCTGGGCCTGTGGCCTGCAGTGGGAGGAGTCACTAAAGCCCACTGGGCTGCAGTGGAGGGAAGGTAGGCCTAATGGAGTCTTGGCTGTTGAGACGTAAAGACAATGGTCATAGTAGCAGAAAGTACTAGTATGGATCGCCAGCAGCAGGAGGCATGTAAGTCAAGTGTAAGAATGTGTGTTTTACAATTTCACAGAATCCAGCAATCTGTGGCTTAATGGTAACTTATGGGTCATTTTTTGTCCATTTTCCTGCATGGACAAGGCCACTATTATGTCTCAGATGGGATTGTCTCCTGTGTATATGGTCTCCTGAGACCAAGCTTTCTCACTTCTAAGCCTCCCTTGGATAGTTTTGCATCTTCCCATCAAAATAGTTTTTATTCCATTTATCCTATATCCCTCTTATTAGCATCTTCATTCTTCCAGAGACTTCAGCTAGAAAGAGGTAGGGAGGGCTGGGGGTGGGGGGTGGTTGGTAGGAGTGTCCTCACCGCATCATACAGACACTTGAGGAATTGGATGTCCTTGTTCAGAGAGTCCACTTTGGCCTGCAGCTCCACCTTGACTGCATAGGCTGCATCTGCGTCCTGCCAAGAGGTCACCCACAACCATCAATGTGTACAACCAACCAACCAACCAACCAACCAACCTGCCCTGTCCAAAGCCATCTGCTTAGCTGACTTTTTGCCCACAAAGGGAAACATCTCAGTGAATAAAATTACTCAAGTGCAATTTTTTTTTCCCCCCTCAGACTCACTAAGCCTTTGGGAAAGCACCTGGAGAAGCAATATTCAAAGAGGAAGAGTGAGTTTCCTCAAGTCACACAGGAAAGCGGGCAGGACCAGTTTTCTGACTCCCAGACCAGACTTCTGTTTGTCTCAGAGTGTTTTCTGGGTGTTTGTCTTTCTCCAACTTGCTGGAGGCCAGTGTTATGACTCCACCCTTAGGAGGGCACCAGGTTCCTCAGCCCCCCACCCCAGGTGACATGGCTAAAATCCCCAGCAGTTATTTGGGATGGAGATTTCAAGAGAGACCAGTGTCCCTAGGCCTTCCTCTCCCTTACCTTTTTTAGTGCCACAAACTCATTCTCAGCTGCTGTGTGCTTATTAATCTCCATCTCATATCTGTGGGCAGGAGAGAAGATAGAGAGGTCTCCATTCCCTCAGTCAGAACCTGCCAACCAGGCAAGTGCTGAGGATGCAGAGTCCCCAGGCAGCTCCCCAGGGGTGAGCACTGCAGAGGTGGTGGGTAGAGTGAGAGATTCACGGGCTATCTCCATTGCATTCCGCTCACTGGGAAAATACCCAAGTGCCCTAAACTGGCCTACTGAACCATTCAGTGGGTCAATCACTTCCTGTTAATTGATTAAGTGGGCAATTCTCATCAAACAGGTGGACCCTTCCTCAGAAATCAGAGAAGGGGGCAGGAGCCCCTGGCCCTGGCACTTGCTGTCTCTCTTCCTAAGGAATGGCAAAAAGATTAGGTGACCACAGGAGCCTCTGGGAACATGACCGATCACACTTTGGTGGGACCCACTCACCTCTTCTTGTAGTCCTCCACCATGTCGCGCATGTTCCTCAGCTCTGAGTCCAGCCTCACTTTGTCCCCAGACAATGTCTCTAGCTGTTTCCTTAGGCTGCCCAAGTAGCCCTCAAAGATGGGCTCTAGGTTCTTCTTACAATTGTTCAGGTCCAACTGCTGCAGCAGCTCCCATTTGGTCTCCAGAACCTGGTTCTGCTGCTCCAAGAACCGCACCTAGAACCCAGAACAGCAGAAAACTGGACTACATTAAATGGGATTATGTCCAATGGGCATATGTCATTGACTTCCAAGGTTAAACTGATGTTTACAACATCATTTTTGCTCAAGTCCTGATTCCCTACCTCTACCTCTGACAGACCATGCAGACTAAACCCTTTACAGGTCCTCATTCTGTAGTCTTTTAATAGTTTTCTCAATCACTAAAAACGTATTGAAGAAGGAGATTCCAGAGCTGTCTGCTATTGGCTGACCTGTGGCTCAGGAGATGGTCTTCGCTACATCTTGGCTAATCCTGTACCATGAGCCCTTTGCTCTGCATAGTGCTGATCTCATTAAGCCTTCAGTTTTTTAAAGAACTAGAGCTCTGCCCAGCTGGCCTCCACGAACATACTGTTTCTGTCTCAAGGCGGCATTACCTTCACCCAACAAATATCCTACCCTTCTCTGATAAATACCCAAAGAAAGCGTCACATTCAATTATTCTTCTTTTCTACCTCATTTACAAGTCTGCTCTTCCGTTATGATCAGGAAGTTCTTTCTGAAGTCTAGCTGCAGCCTCTGCATGCACAATGCCCAATCCATTCCCAGGTAGCACCGAAGTTTCTCACATTCCCCTGACTGCCTTCTCCTTCCTCTTATGAGACTCACCTTGTCGATGAAAGAAGCGAACCTGTTGTTCAGTGCCTTGATCTGCTCACGCTCCTGGGTGCGTACTTTCTGGATCTTGGGATCCAGCTCCACATTGAGAGGAGCTAAGAGGCTCTTGTTGACGGTGACCCGGTGTATGCCCCCAGGTGGACACATCGATGGGCACACAGGTCCCAAGGCCACATTGCCAAAGATACTGCCAGCAAAGCCACTGGCCCGGCCCCCTCCATGCCCAGAGCTGTGCCCAAAGCCATAGCCTCCAGTCCGAACACTGCCACCTGCCACACTAAGGGAAATACACCGGTTCCCTCCCAGACTGTAGAGGCTACGACTGCTAAAGCCAGCCTCAGGCCCCTTGTTAGCTGCCCAATAAGAAGCTATAGCCTTCCTCGGCACTACTGCTGAGTACCCACTGAAGTCTCCCTTGTCACCACCAGACTTGATATTCAGTTGTCGACTCATGGTAGGTCAAATGGAGTTAACAGAGCTAGAGAAAACCAGCCAACAATGGAGCAAAGAACAAACTGATGGGGCACCCAGGACTGCCTCCTTTTATCCCTGTTCATTGTAGGATGCCGGAAAGGGGCGTCTCTCCACTATCTCCTGTCCTTCAGCTGAAGGGCCAGGGGCTGTGGGCAATTTGTGGAACAGAGATCTCCACAAAGCCTTTCTAATAGGGGTCTGAATATGCTGCCTTTGCAAGCTGGAGTGGTCTAATTTGTAGCTTATCTGTGCTACCTAATTAGGGACCTGGAGTATTATCCCTTTCAGAGATCTCCTAGCTTTATTTTTCCAGTAGGGCCTCCTTCTTGCTTATCTATCAGCTTTTGTTGCTGTTGTGAGGTGCCGTCAAGTTGGTTCTGACTCAGAGCACCCTTATTTACGCACAACAAACGAGACACTGCTGGTCCTGCACCAACCTCACAATTACTGCTACTCTTCAGCCCATTGTTGCTGCCACGGTGCCAATACAACTTGTTGGGGGTCTTCCTCTTTTTCTCCAACCCTCCACTTTACCAAGCATGATATCCTTGTCAGGAGGGACTGACCCCTCCTGACAATATTTCCAAAGTATGTGAGATGAAGTCTGGCCATCCTGGCTGCTTCTAAGGAGTGTTTTAGCTCTTCTTCTTCCAACACATATTTGTTTTTTGTATCAGCAGGGAACAGGGCAAAGCCTGGCTTTATCCAGAAAGAATTCATCCAACATGCTTTCCTCCCAAAAAAAGACCATCTCCCCCCTACCTAGTTAGTTGTTGAACAGTTGGATTGTTCCTGTCAGACAAAACTTGGAGTAGGAAGCAGATGATGGGAGTCTTCAAAGATCTGGATCCAGAAAATAAGCGCTAATGAGTTGTTTTTAGGTCATTCTAAGAATAATGCACCAGACTGCAAAGCCATTTGAACTGCATGATCGGTGGTTCAAGCTCACCAGCTGCTCCTTGGAAACCCTATACAGGGTCATTATGGGTCAGAATCGACTCGGCGGCACTTAACAGCAACAACAACAAGGACAAGTGCTAGCAGTGGACTGGGTAATGGAAAGGACCACACATAGTCCTCATGACCACCCAGCAGGGTTCTTGTCTGAGGTGTTTGTGTAGGCCCTGTGTTGAGGTGACTTTGAAATTGCCTTTTCAACAATGAGAGCCTTTCTAGGTACCTGGTATTTCCTCAAGTAGCATGGTCTGTCTTGGATAAGGTTATCTGGCCTATCCCAGGGCCTGATCATGGAGCAGTCTCAGGAATTGGGAAAACAGCTCTTCTCCCTTGTGGAAAACATCTCCCTTACAGCCAAGGGGGCCCAGGAATGTGAATTTCCGAGTTGTACTTCTGGGTTCAGGGTGGGCTGTTCTGCTGATATTTGAACAGTTTTGGAACAGGAAGTCCTAGTGGGGTGGAATGTTAAGAAATTATTTCAAAAATAGCTATCTAGTAGCTTCCCTAAGAAAGGACTGTGGCCACTTTCTATAACTAAGCTGGGGAGCCTTGACCCATCAGAGTAACTCAGAAAGTGGTAGAAAGCAAATCCCACTGCTGGGAGAGGAGATGGAGCGTAGGCCACTGAATGGAGGTTCTCATAGGACCTTTCCCTTTCTAAAGGTTTTCCTCTCAACCCTAGAGGCAGCACTGGGCACTCCTTCTTCAAGGACTCACCCTTCCTGTCGGGGCCTAGCTCGAGGGCATGGACGGTAGAGAGGAAGTGGTTTCTTGTGTTTTTTCTGAGCCAGATCTGAAAGCCAACAGCAGATAGAAAACAACTAAGTTGCTATCCCTGCTGGGCTTGCCTCCTTTCTGTGATGGTGTTTAATGTCAGCAAACTGTGTGTGTTCCTCAACCTATGGGTGACAACATACAGCTCCAGCACCCCAGGGTCAAAATTCAAGAAAAACAGAAGAGCATTACAGATAGAGGGTTGGAAGTATGCTAAAGATGAGTGACATCCTCAGCGTCGGTGCTCAGAGATAGTAGGGTTTGACTTCCAAGGGGGCTTAAAAAGTTTGTGGAAAAATCCCACTATCTTTTCATTCAGTTTTTCTATAAATATTTTGAAACCCCCTCGTATAATTTGTAGTAGTAGTAGCAAAGAAGAATCCTTCTGTGGTGTTGTAGGATAAGCACTGGGCTACTAGCCACAAGGTCAGCAGTTCAACCCTACCATCTGTTACTTGGAAATCTTATAAAAGGTTGTTATACGTTGGACCCAATTCAATAACACTTAACAAGTAGCAAATATGGTGGCAATAATGTCAGTTGTAGTAAAAGGAATTAAACCAGATTCTGTCAAGTCAATTTCAACTCTAGTAAGCAAAAAGAGTTAGTATTTAGCATTTACTTTGCATGTGCCAGACATTGCATAGAACGTCTAATTTAACTCTCACTTAACTCACTTCATTTCACAGCTGAAGAAACTAAGGCTGAGACATTAGGAACTTGTCCAAGACCACTCAGCTAATAAGTCAGAGTTGGAACTGCAATATAAGTAAGTTGGTTTCAAGTCTGTTCCTAATCATCATTGTGTGAAAGAGATGAAAATTAGGCTTTGGGGATGCATGTGGCAGACATGGGAATTAGGGGGCTATGAGTCCCTTGTGCGTGTGCTTCTATTAGATTACTGAGATGAATTTATGGCATAAAGAACATGCTGCTGCAGATGGAGGAGGCTACATAAGGCTGGACATCATGCCAGGTTTCATAGAGAGTCAGCCAAGATGAGGATGGGCAGAGAGAGGTAAACAAATCTCATTTTCAGGGGTGGTATTTTATTCTAGAATCCCAGTAGTCAAATTCAAGGAATTCAAAGGGGCAAATAAACACAGTTTTAGTTATCTGAGTCTCCTGGGCCAAATTTTGCACCTCTGCTGCCTGACTAAGTAAGCCCTAATCTCATAGAGAAGCTGAACTTCATATGGGGAACTTGAATGGAAGAACACTTACAAGAGAAGCAAAGACTCTAGGCTGGATCTTTAAGACAGAAGAAGGCATAGAGTGAAAAAAGCCGACTTTTAGGTACCCATACAAATACTGCAGAATGAACTCAGCCCACTTATGCTCAGAAGTGGAGCTGGGGAGAGTCAAGACTAGGACTAGTGGCCCAGGTGTACTTTACATTCATTCTAGAAGCATTTAATGAGTACTTCCTATGTTCTAGAGCCTGTGCTGGAGGTTAATGAGTAAGAGTCTAATGCTGCTGGTGGTGGTGATGATGATGGTGGTGGTAGTAGTGATGGTTGTGATGAAGAAGGAAAAGGGTAATCTCCGGACAGCACTGTTGTGAATGTGACCACCCATAGTGCCCCTCTAATCTCCTAATCAATTCCTAGGGAGTTGAACTGCAAGGGAATTGTCTTTGGCCTATGCCATAGGATCTCTGACATTTCCAACCTTTACCTGTGTTGGCTACCATTTAATCATCATATTCCACACCCAGTCCTTGAGTTCATTGGAACAATGAGTGCTCTCAGGTCTGAAGAGATTGGTTCATTCTCCTAGTGTGACATTGTAGGATCAGCACTGGACTGTGAACCACAAAGTCAGCAGTTCAAACCCACTAACTGCTCCTTGGAAATCTTATACAGGGTCACTATGAGTCAGAACTGACTCAACGGCACTTAACAACAACAACATACTCCACAAAGGCAATGTTCTACATCCTACTTTAGTGAATAGTGACTGGGATCTTAAACATTCCGTGAGTGGCAATCTAAGGTTCAATTACTGGTCTTTCTATACTCAGAGAAAAGAAGTGATGAAAATTGAAAACACATGGAAAAAATGAATCCCGTAGACTAATGAACCACATTAGTCCATCAATCTACAGGACCCTGAAACCAGAACCAGAAGAATATCTAGTTCTTATTGTTCTTATTGGTACCAATATCAACTGCTCTGAAAGGGATCACAACAGAAGGTCCTGCATACAGTGGGAGAAAAATGTGGAACAAAACTCAAAGTCACACAAAAGACCAAGCTTACTGGTCAGATAGAGACTGGTGGATCCACGAGACTATGGCCCTTCAGGTCTGAAAGTGAACTCATCCCATGGTTCAACTTTTAGTCAAACAATAGATAGCTCTATAAAGGGGAAGGATAACACGAGTGAGGTGTGCACACCTTATACTAGCCAATCATTTGAAAACAAAAGAGCAGCATTTACCCAAGGACAAAAAGTTCAGAAGGAAAAGTTTAGGTAAGAAGGAGGAATGAAAACAAGAAACACAGGGAAGAAGCGGAATAAGTGATGTTACATTGTAGGGACTACAATCAATGAGATGGAACAAAATGTGTATGAATTGTTGAATGTAGAACTGATGATCTGCTCTGTAAACCTTCTCCCAATCCTCAACTAAACAATAAAAAGAGAGAGAGAGAGAGATTGGTTCATTTAATAAGTATAAAATTGTGTGCCTAAAGCTAAGCCCTACAATGTTCGGTGGACTTCTGTGGACCCGGATGGGGACCTGGTTGGCCAGCAGTGTGGGGAGACATGGGGACTCTTGGGCCCAGAGTCAGCAGTGTGGCCACGGAGGACTAGAGTGGAGAGTGAAGTTACCAGCTGATAGGAAGGGAGGGCATACGCACGAGAACACCCACACCTGCAGATGGTACCCACGTGACCTGGCCC